CTTATTTTAGTTGAACGGAAGTCAAGTCCTTTTTTTCTACTTAAATGTACAGTGTTTGCATTCTTAGCCGTTAAGTTTTATTTACATACACTTGCTGCAACTTTCTTTCTTTAGGACAAAGTGTTAATAATGTAAGACAACAATGTACACAGTTTGAGACTAATTATTCAAATTGAATAGAATTGTAATTTTATTTTTCAAGCAAATAAGCAACAGAACATTGTAGGACGTTACATGACTACAAATTAACCACGGCTTGGGAAAGATCAGGGCCAAGAGAGAGATTCTTGTGGAGAAACGATTTATATTCGGTACACCGACGAAAAGACATTTTTCCGGCTGATGAGATCGATTAACGACGAAAAATATCCATATTTAGGGCAACGGCTCCACCACGAGAAAATAGAAGCGGAACGTTATCACGAATGCTCTTCCTATTCAACCACATGAATCACACCTTGAAACGTAATCGGCCTGTAGTTTATGACCCAGGCACATATAAGAACGTAAAATAACGTGTTTTTCTCAAATTTTACCACCGGTTTTAAAGCGACAATAAAGTTTTCTCGCTCTCCGAACGGTAATTCAGTCGAACGGCTCATTTTATTAAGTAAATAACGGGCAGTACGAAGGCCCATCTCGACCTCCCGGCCTGTTACGGTGGTTAATATATCCGGGGTGACACATTGTAATGCAAGTAATCAAACACATTCTGATTGAAATCCCTGGATACTGAAAAGATTTCAATAGGGAGGGATCGATTCTCTACCGGTTTATAACGGGCCGTCCAGCTGTGAAAAGGGAGGATGATACCGCCTGGCACTATTTGCCCAGAACTCTCTTATCTTATCATAGCACGCTGTCAATGTTTTTTCTCTTTTCTACTCCTCTCGATTATTTACCAAAAGGAGAAACCGGTCTCGTGAAAACGGAATTTTTCTTTTCATCGAATGTTCTAAGAGGATAGAACGATGATGAGCTTACAATACCAGAAGGATGGGTTCGCTTAGCTCCTCCCATATCCTGGAATGGGTAATGATCCTTAATTTTAGATCTTTAGTTCAAAATAAATTTTACAAATTACCGGCAAAGAATGATTTCTACATAAACTGTTAACAGTCGTTAACAGACAGGGTTTCGTCGATTACACGGCAACAAGATGAGCTTTTAAACACTGTGAAAGCAGCAAGAACAATGGGCGGCAATAAATGGTGAAAATGGTAGAAAACCAAACCAAATTATACCAAAAATGGGTTTCAGTCTGTTCGAAACGACGACTTTCTGCTGGGTAAATGGAAATGAGCCGTAGAAGACGAAGTCGTGAAAGGTCCGGGGACAGGCGAGCACGAAATTCCACGGGGACGAGGGCACAGACAAAATCGCGCAAGTAACCTGCGACATTCGGCTATGTGAATCTCACGGCAATTTGTACCGACGGCGAAAAGTTTCAGAAGCATTGCAAAATCGGAAAAATAATCAATAATTCTATTCTAGTGGAAAAATGAGATTTAGAAACGTTTCATACAAGAAAAACTCTTTAAAAGGCAAAAGCCATTGACGAACCAAAATAAACGGCCGATGTGATAGTTTGAACAAATTCTCTACTTAGTTAGGCCATTAAACACAGAATAAAGAAGAAAAAAGTATGGTGATAACTAACCCAAATTTTTTACTCTTGTTAAGATGAGAACAATTTATTTTCAATAATTTTCGTTTAGCTTAGATTGGAGAAACAACTGATTTTATAAAAACAAAATCAAAAATATAAAAAAATGAATTAAATTTCAGTATAGAATTTCATTTAGAGTAGTGAACAAGGGTTTTTAGGGATTTTTTTTATAACTTTATAAGAAAAAAGTCAATAAAAGGCATGTATCAACCAGTGTTCGTCGTTAGGTTTAGTTGATCCTCGAGAGTGTCGTCAACCGTTCAAACTTTTTAAAACATTAGATAGTCCTAAGCCGGAGAAGGGCGATGTTATCCAAGAATGCTTTAGGAGTGGCCGCCGGCGTGTTCGGCACTCTGTTCGTCGGCTACTGTCTATACTTCGACAAGCAGAGGAGGAAAGACCCGGATTTCAAGAGAAAACTCAAAGAGAGGAGGAAATCCAACAAGAGTAAATGTCAAAAAAACACCCGGACCAAGTTTCCAGATATGGCGAACCACGAGGCCATCCAGGCTTTCTTCCTTCAGCAAGTGCAGCTGGGAGAAGAGCTCCTGGGACAAGGGGACATCGACGGAGGGATTGAGCACCTCTGCAACGCGGTGACCATCTGCGGCCAGCCTAACCAGATCCTAGAGATATTGCAGCAAACTTTGCCGCCCAACTTGTTTCAAACCCTACTGCAAAGGCTTCCGAATTCAAGCCAGAGAGTTATGGAAGGTGGAGAAGGCACGATGATCGAAGACGTCGAAAATTAAAGTAGGCCTAGTTTTTAATAAATGACCAGCTCGTAAATAGAATTTCTTAAAATGTGTTTTTTTGTCTTATTTATTTTGTTTAAAAAGTAAAAAAAAATTCAAACGACTGCTGTTGTATACCTCAGATGGTAGTTGTTTGAGATACACCATTTATGGCAATAAAACCGTCAAGATATTATCGCTTTATAAATAAAATACCATCAATTGCCAATGACGAAACAGACTGTCGCAATCGCATAAATACAACACAAAAGATATTGACATGCTGCATTCACCAATCGAGTCAACTTCTAAAAAAAATTCTTTCTTCATCCTTACTTCATACTTATTTATTTTACTAAAGGTGTTCCTTCTTGGTTTTGTCCAGGTCGTGTGAACATAGTAAGGTATGACTGATATATAATTTCCTATTACGAATTTGGTTAAAAATCGTCTAGCGCGCCTTTACAGTTTAAAATATCCCGACTGATTCCTTACAATCAGCACGCGAAGTCTGTTCAGCTTTAAACGTTAAGATTTTTGAACCAAGTGAGAACGGAAGTACATTTGGTCATTGTCATCAAAAATCTCTTTTTTTATCAAAGATGTCACAAGGGTTCAATCAGCATGCAGGTGTGATTCAACTTACAACTGGCCTCATAAAGTCTTCCTCGTCTGATTCCAAAGCCTCGCCTTCAACAACCACTGAACTTTTGTCGTTTTCCATTTAGTTAAGAATAAATACTAACAAATAACAATGACCTAAACTAAACTGGCATTAAACATATCTTTAAAAAACAAAACAAAACAAAAACATAAGAAAACCTTCTGTTGATTGCCATCTCCAAAATCTTTCTTTTTAGCTTAGTTTATTTTAAGTGTAGCAAAATATATCATTAAAATTTACTAAAAATACTGGCTTTAGCATAAATCAAAAAAGAACCACTTACATTAAAATTAAACTGGTTTCTTTATACCATACACATAATTTATGAAAGGAAAAGATCCAATAATAAAAGAACAAAAACATTTAAGACAATAATATTAATAATAATCTGTATTTAAGGTATTGGTTGAGATAAAAAAGTCAGTGTCACAAGCGGGATTCGAACCCACGACCTTCGGATGATATTTGGTCAAGCGGTCCGCGAAAACTAGGGAATTAATACTAATATTCTTTACTTCTGACGTTTTTGGAGACGAGGTACATCAGTCAGCAATTCGATTATATAATGTAGCATGTAAAATTTTAGAATCAATAAAATCTATTATTATATATTTAAATAATTTCATACAGTAGTTTCAACCATGGATCATTTGCTCTTTTTAGCAGTCTTTATTGTTTTTCTTGTATATTCATTGTATTTAATTATGTTTATTGGTCTGTGACTGTCAAAGGGGAGAACGAAAGTTGAATGATCGACATGATCATTTTACTAAGTCTGCCATCGTATAACACTGTTCTAGTTAATAAAAGGTCCTACTACATAAGGAACATGTAAATTTCATATTTCCTTAAAGTGGTACGTATAGCGAGAGTCCTGCCTAAGTTGTGCCTAAGACTGTCTAATTCTAATACGATTTCCCTAATTTCGGATAAGGATTTTGGTTAGAAACTGTTGCTTCACAGATGAAATATATGCGGTAAATTTTCCCATAGAATTTGTAGATTAGGTCGAGTTCCTGCAGATCAATGACGCATTCTTTAGATCGAAGTGCTCTGAAAGCATGGCTACCAGTTGCCTGTGAGACAGTGAGAGTAGTACAAAAGGTCTATTTTTAACTATTAAAAAAAAAATACATCATTCTGGTTTTCCTTACCAATTTTGACCTTATGACAAAATAATATACAGACCAAACCAACAAAGATGGTGACATTTCAATAGGCAACGGTTCAGGCAACGATAATGTGGACACGACAGTGATGGTTTGTGCGCTAGGTTGACCAACGATCGATGAAATAACACACAGACCCACCCCTCAAGTAAGGGCGGAATAGTCAGACACGGCTTATTTGCTACATATGATTAGTCATATACATACGTAAGATGTATTAACATTCCACATGAAATTTCTTAGAAAATCCGGCATTCATTTGCAACACACCGATTCCAGTAGGAATTACATAAGCGTAGTGGCTACGGGTGTAGAAGTATGCAATTCTGCGTAAATATTTTATGGATGTATTTGGCGCAAGTCCATCGTTGGTAATAAATACACATTGTCTGCATTAAGACTAACCGTTTGTTACGCAACGAAGCCACCATTGAGACCAAGTTAATAATCTAACTGTGAATAAAATCTTGGCACTGGCAAAGGTGTTTTATTTCCTACCTGACCGCATTCCGTTTAAACACCTCGAATGAAGATCGACTGGAAGGTTGTCGGACAACCGAGATCGGTCAACACAGTTTGAATACAGTGGGAAAAGTAAGTGGAACACGATTGGTTAACTTGAAAAATCAAACCGTTTCTTCAGAAAAATCAAAAGTGACTCAAATCTACTTCTCAAGTAGTGTTTAAAACAAAAATATACTTATAAATATAAATAATGTATTTTAATTTACAGTATAACATGCAGGAAAATAATATTCTCTTACCACATAGCCTGAACGGAGACGGGTTTGAATATGTGGTGTTTTTCGCAAACACTCACTGAGAAGCCGCTGAAAATTAAAAGAGAAATTTTTAGAATAAACACATTGGCATAGAATAATATATTCGACAGCAATACTCATTAATACAAACACATTAAGAAAGATTACAAAAACAGGCAAAAAAAAATCAGGACTTATGTTCTAGTCAAGCTGCTAACGCTCATAGGTTAACCCATAAATGTTGGCAATTATTTTCGTTCAGTATAATTAATTATTATTCAACAACAAGTATACATTTTTCTTTCAACCCTAAACTAAATCAGTCCGTTTTAAGTTTTGATAATTAGTACTAGTATCATTTCTGAAAAAAAATCACATTTTCAAATAGGCTTACATTCACACCCAATAGCCTTAAGAGCGGAAATATGGATTTAGTATATTAATCCGTACATGTTTAACGGTCATAACTAACCGTTTTAATTATTTCAATTAATTATTCTTTTATCTAAGGTCTTAGTTTTTATGAAAAAGTTACTGTCACGAGCGGGATTCGAACCCACGACCTTCGCCTGAATACACCGCTGCTCCAACCACTTGAACTATCGTGACTTCGATCCACTTGGACACCAACTCTTCTTCTCAACCTACAACCTTTCGAATTTTCCCTCTCTTTGCCATTTTCCAAATGTCGTGTAATCAGGATTCGATTCCCAGCGACTTATGAAGTGGCCACGGGGAGCTGTTATTAATATAATAAGTAATCACTTCACTAACAGCTCCCCGATATTTGAAAAATGGCAAAAAGAGGGAAAATTCGAAAGGTTGTAGATTGAGATGAGATGGTGCCCGAGTGAATCGTAGTCACGATAGCTCAAGTGGTTAAAGCAAGTATTGAGCTGAAGGTCGTGGGTTCGAATCCCACTCGTGACACTAGCTTTTTCATCTCAACTAAGACCTTAGATTACAAAAAATAATAATTTGGGTTTATGTATTTGTTATTTCTTGACTTATATTCTTAACTCCAACTGAATAATTGAGCGTTTCAAGAAAGCTACCGCAGTATCGAAATTTTTTTTTTTAAAGAGTCGAAACGATAAGCCGACCTAGTTTCTGGATAGATTATTTCTTTACTCGTGGAAAAAAATAAATACGAAAAACTTTTATTTCACATCGCTACCGCGGCTTATTCATATTCCATGATAGCAAGGAGGAAACACACCGAGCGTGAAACGTCGACTCGACTGCTCAGCAAACATGCAAGAACGAAAACAAACGCTCTACTTCACGCGAGGATGTCGTGGAAGAGAAAAACTTGATATTTATTTTGATTCGAAACATTTTATTGATACATTAAATGTCTCCTTTTGTGTTTATAGTTTAAACAAAACTACACGATCCGGTGAAAGCAAAGAGGCCTAACACGTTCAGATTCCACCCTTTGAGTCACGTCCCATCTCAGTTGTCGATTAAATCGATTTTTTATGTAATCCTTCTAGAAACTTTAGAAAACAAAGCGTAATTGTATACGGTTATAATCAAGTTGAATATAAGTCGTTTGGCACGCATACTTATAAAAGGAGCCTCGAATAAACTCGTTTTTATTTTATAAAAAAAAGTTAAAGGCCGTCGACTATATAAGACGATCGATTTCTCTTTGGTCGCAATTATTGTAAACTTGATTGTTTAAATTAGCAACAATAAATCGGCCAGGATATGTGAGCGTTTATGTTAAAATAAGATTTGGAAGTTTCCACTTACCCATCTCCGTCCAGAGTTATGGAAGTGTTGGCAAGAACCTTGAGCACGAGCCCGACGGTCGTCGTGTGGTTGCAGTCGATACCGAGGAGGCAGGACTCTTCCGTCAGCTGCCTGCCCATCCTGGACACGACGACGAGGTATCGCGTCCTTCCAGGGTGTACCGATTCCAGCTTCACAGCCTGTAAAACGAATCAAACATAAATTTTAACGAACTACAATGATTTTCGGCTCGCGGGCAAATGTCAAGGCGACAAATTGCGGATGTACTCGGCCTTCTTCGGCCCTTCTCAATTGAACGGGTTACGCAATAAATAAGCAAATGCGCCGGGGGCAGAACTGGCAATTGATAAATTCCATTTTATATTTAACAGCCCCACTGGTGAATTTAAAAAAGAGAATAAGATAACGGAACGTATAAGTCCTAAGATCTGAAGAGAAAGCATTAATCAACGAATATCAGTACAAACTTTGTCAAGAAACTTTGTCTTTTTGCATTATTAAGCTATGTTGAAACAGTGTGATTTCTAAATAAGCTATAGCTGTATTATAAATTGTAGGTAATATAATTTTGTCGATAAATTCTAGATTGTAGTATTCGTTAATAAATCGGCTGAAAACAAATCTCAGCGATCTAACAGAAAATTCTAAAATAAATATTTACCACTACAGTCTAGAGTTTTGTATTACCTTTGTTCATGAAAAGTGAAAGTATCGCTTGTGCTACTACCCGTGCTCCTCGGACCTGTCGACAAAATACCCCAGGAAGTACTAAAGCCCTATACTTTCTTCTTCCATTATACTATTAAAAAAAGGATAAAAATGGGGAAACCCAACATTCAATGGTTAATGGAAAGTTCAACTTCTGCCTGAATAGCGTTTGTTCAAGGTGCCCTTCGTAATAACAGTACAGCGTCGGAAGGCAATGACGAAAATGTCGCAATCTGCAGCATCCCTGAGGCATTTGTTTCGCGTACAAGAGTTTTTACAAAAGGAAAACCAGGAGGCATGACATTAGGGCTAAGGTCGGTTTACGTTTCCAACCATCATTCCAAGGACGTGAAAAAAGCTTGACAGTCTGACTAACCATAGAATTTGCCATTACCTTTTCAGACTTGACCTTGCTAGTAAACGTTCTTTCGACCGAATTGTTTTAGCAAGCCAGTAAGAAAATATGCATAAATTCATAACGATGTATTTGCCTTATTAATATTGCTTTAAGTGCTTATCAAACAAACCTTAGGAGCAAGGCTGTTAACCCGCCCCCCGCAAGGAGGGTTTCTGGACTCTTCTTCGTCTGTATGTTTTAGAGTCAATTCTAAATTTCTTTTGTTCTAATGCCTACCAAATTATTTGTCTAATCTGTTTATTGAAAAAAATATGAAAAACGACAACGTTTTCAATATCAAGACGCTTATTTTCTTTTGTCGACAGCTAAATGAGTATCAATTATTAATCTTGATTTAAATAAAAGCGTTCTACACGGGATATAAACAGCCGATAATTTTTTTTTTTCAAGCTGCTTTTGTAGGCCAGAACCACCAACGTTTTCAATTATCAATAATGTATAAAAGGCAGTGATATTGTGACCTTGTAAAATTAAATCAAACTTTAATAGCAACCTAGTGACCTACTGTGTTTAAAACTCATGTCGCCATCACTAAAAAAAATCGCGTTTCATCAGTAACGATGAGACTTAGATGACACACCCCCTCTGATCTAGGGTCGAGTCTACGAAGTCCAAAATTTTATCTTCAAAGCGTGAGAGTTAAAAGTTCGACCCAATTCAGAAGTTACCCAATCATCCATCGTTTTTACAATCCTGGAAGTAAATGAGCTCAGACTTCTAACGGCAACGTGGCCAACTGGTTTGACTCCTTGCCCCTCGACGGTCGCTACTATCCCGTCTTCGGGCGTCTTGCAATAGAGAAAAATTCAAGATTTTCCTGAGTTGAAATAATTGAACAACGCGATCTTCCTTTTTGAAACGCTTTCAAGTTCAAGGCGGCCAGCTTCTGCCACTTTTTGTCAGAGTGAGCCAGCCGGCGGGACCATCGGCTGAGTCGTCACGTAAATTTAAAAATATCTATCGGATTGGGAAAAAATGAACCGGACAATTTTATTTATTAACCTATAATACTTATATGTACTCGAGTGACTGTATCGGTTTTTACTTAACTGAAAAGTAGATTTCCATTTAAGTTCAACGTCATGTTCAAGTTTTAATGCCTGAAAAAGGAGATTTTCCGTTAGGAATTATACCTTGAACATTACAATATTAATATTAAATTACATATATAATTTTTATAATGTTTTTTTAATTATCATATTAACATTTTTATAACATTTATTTGAATTAATTTCTTATTGATCATTAAGTGATCGAAGTTATCAGTAAAGACTGACATCGAATCGTTAGCTATCTACATTCCGGAAGTGGAGATATTAAAATACCAATTTGGAGAATTGGAAGCCAGACTAGAGACGAATAAGCATTTTAAAAGGGGACGAATTTCTTGAAAACTATCAACGTAACAGTACATTATATTCTAACAGTATATTTAAATAAAATTGGGCAATATTTCGTGCTTAAATTCTCATATTATAAATATTCCAACAGCGTCCTATCGCGAGATGGCAATTTTCGAGATAAGGGAAAGGTTGTTTGGTTTCTGATTATTTTAAAGGAAAAATGGGGCAGGGATAAGGGATGGGATAAATCGAAAAAGGCAATAGAGGTTAATAATACATGATTACCCAACGAGACTTATTGTATTATCGACAATAGGCCGATTTTACGTTGTACCGTGTACTTTTCCCTCCAGCGAGATGCACATCCAGACGACCTATAACTTGTGAGGTGAAAGTGCGCCCACCTTTACACCGATGATGACATCATGCTCTTTCGAGTGTAAAGTGGAAAGCAAAATTTTCATCTCACAGAGTGAATCTTTCCACGAAATTAGCTTATTTTGCATGGTAAATACACAATTTTCAATTTTCATAGAATAAAACGTCTTTCTTGAAACTCCAATGTTCCAACGTTACTGTTAAAGAACTCACTTAATTGTGTTATGATATCGAAATTGCACATCGTCTCCTTCATGGGGCACAAATTGAAAGATAAAATCGGGCATTGACCATTAAACTAAATATAACAATATTAATTTTTTTTTGTGATTTCCTCTTGAGATCTACGGGGTAATGAACCTGTTGAAGTTTGGTCTTTGCCTATTTTGCCTTTGGTTATTTTGTACTGAACAAAATGATCCGACAAAACTAAAAATTACCTTTTATAATAAAAAATGTACAATACATATACACGATCTGACCACATCTGAATCACAAATGTTCGAAATAAGATATACAGACCAGACGCGTTGTAGACCTGGAAAAGTTGTTAATTTAATAATAGAAAAACCCAGCTTTAACCAATATCACTAGTTTTCCGTCAAACAATGCAAAATAACCTCAAAGATAAGAAGGCTAATTCGTCGAAAAGCAGATTACGTTTGTTAGAAGAAAAAAATCTTGATAATCAACAACCTATTCAAATTATCACTGCAGAAATGGAACGTATTATTTACCATTTAATAAGCCTGTTTCATTTTTTCTGTGTGAAAGTCAGAGATAACGTTTTAGAAACATTTCTTAACCGATATGACAACATATTTCGAAAAAAGGGGACAAACGGAAGAAAGGAAAGGATCAATTCAATTGAGTCGACAAACGTCAATTTCCAATATTCATACACTCAAGAAACAAGACAAATATTTTGTGTTGCATGAGTGATTATGATAAACCTCAACAAACAATGAAAATAATTCAACTGGCGTATAATTAAACAAATGTATTTAAAACTTATTTTCTGAAATGTTGTACAAATGACAAAAAACGTAAACATTGAGATACACTCTTAACGATAATGGACGCCATTTTAGTTAAGACTCAGCAACACTATTTGTTATTATCGCTAACAGTACTTCGTGCCGTATAAAAATGTCATTAGTTTTTAGACCAATTGTAAAAATGTTGGTTAGAAATTGGTATTGTTTTACAAAATTATTTATATATTAAATTTTCTTAAATTTCAATGTGTGGTGATTAGAAATACTTTGATTGAATATAAAAAAATATATTTTGCATTGTATAAATTCACTTTTCCACATCCTAAATGTATTTGTTAAATGGAAACAATGTTTGTAAATCCCAAGCCCTGAAGATGATCTCAATAAAGATCGAAACGTTGGCAAGATAAAGAAAATGTTTTTCTGAAACCTACATCACACCAGACCGCATCTCACGATTTCTGAATAATTAAATTTTAATCATAAACTCAGTTTCTTACATATGCTATAAGGGTTACTTAATTTCTAAAGCGATTCTCTGGGTCGGTTATCCGTGAAAAGCGAGAAAAAACGTCTATGATCGGCCGATCGTGGAGAAAGCTTTATTATTTTTAACACAAATGTTAAGCCCTATTACAACGGAAGGAAACACGGTGCGGGACCGTGCTCGGATATAACGATAATGAATTATTGATTGCAACCGTTTAGAAAGTCGGAGTTTAAAAGGGGGTCTTATTGAAAGTAGTGGAGGCAGGCACTCACAATTAGTTCGTAAAACTGGTTTGCCGTTTTTATATTTAACCGCTGGTGGAGAAGCGCTCTAAGGAGAAAGGTGAGGAAAAAGAGATAATGAGATTGATATAAATACATAGATATAGTGAGCGAGCAAGAGAGAGAAGTAGAGAGAAGACAGAGAGAGAGTGTATACTAGGGTAGAGCGAGAAAGGTTCCTGACATACAGGAAGACTTCCAACTAGCCATTGGGACAAGGAGTCAAACAACTTTACAATACATTTTTAATACGATAATCCATTAAAAAACCATGGGCTCTGTCGGGATTTGAACCGCTAGCGTGACAAATGAGACAGACGCCCTAACCACTCGGCCATCGCGGTACCCGAGAGAGCGAGTAAGATTTTAAGAAAGAGAGAGCGGCATGGAGAAAGAAAGGCATAGAGAGTGAGGAGGAAGAGACTTAGGGAAAGAAAGAGTGAGAGTCGTAGGATGTAAAAAATAGCGGCGCAGAGATAAATAAGTTAATCTATAAACAGCGATAGATGTTTTGGATTCCATCTACGCAATTCTGATTCTCCTATTGTGCAAGCAGATGAAAACTATCAGCATTAACGTAAAAATCAGTGATTTACGTAGGTACAAAATTTGATACTGGGTATAGGTCTGCGAGTCGGTGAACTCATGCTGAACCGGCATTGGAACACTTATTGGTTCCGTTTTCGCGGCTTTGCTGAACAACGCATTTTCCCTCACTGAAGATGGCGCAATGCCGAAACGCGTTTGATTAGTTCAACAAACCCGCGAATGAGGACGGACCCAACAAGAGACAATGTTTGTTCAACACAAATGCTTATAAAAGTTCAGCAAAGTCGGGTTAAGTGAACTTGTCCTCACGTCTCACGCATTAAAGACGTCAATGCTTTTGCTCTATCTAAAATTATCTAAAGTAATCTCTGGTCCTTAAGAGAATTTGTCACGAGGAGAGAGTGGCTCGAAAATGAGGAGGGTATGTCGAAGCCCAGACAAGAATGTGACGTTACAGAACAATTAGAGGGTTAAAAAGCTTAGTCGATCCATGGCGTTTCAAGAGTTATACCTTTTAAATATATGGTTTAAAACAGCGGAGCCTTGTATCTTAGGTACAAGAAACCTTATGTTACAGATAACTAACGATATGCGTCAACTATAAGATCAATTTTTTTTTAAATTGCCTTCAACCTCTATGGGTTTTTTAATCTAAATTATTATTGCTTTAATTACCATTTTGAGGGTCTCTTCGGGGCGAAGGAGGTAAAACATGGACTGCAAATGGCACTGGATGTCAGAGCCGGGGGCGGGTGTCGCAGGGGCGGCGGCGGCGGCGGTGGCCGAAGCATGTGGAGAAGGAGGCAGCCTTTCGTAAGGCGGAAGGACCACCGCCGCCCCCTTTCCCGCAAAGTAACACTCGCTCAAACTGAAACAAAAAAGAAAGAACAAGATTAAAATATATATGTACATACACACTGATTAATTAATTAGGTTTATTCTTGTGATGTGCAGGGTGATATACATATTGTTTTTTTAGTGACCGATCATCTTTGTCTGCCCATCCTGTTTGATTTTTGAGGGTTCAGACGCGTTTCAGGCTTCCGAGATCCTCTGTGTTGTTGACTTTGCAAAAATCAATCAATCATTGAGGATGGCGAAATGTCTAAACTCGTCTGAACCAACAAAAATCATTGAGGATAGGCAGACAAAGATGATAGGTAATTACTATCAAACAATATATAGATTTAGCCTGTATTTTTCGTTTTTAAGACGAGCAAGAGAAACTGTATTAAATCAAACTTAGCTGGACGCGGACCTTCTAGTCATTTCTGCAGATCGTTAAATTGCTTAAATTAAACAATATTTAATTAATTGAAAATATTGGTCAATTCAAATAATATAATTTTGAAGCGTAACCGTAACCCCCCCGCAAAAATATATAAATAAATAAAGGTTTTATTGGTTGGTACACATTTACAACACTATAAAGACGCAAATGATTATTTTATAGATCAGTGAAAGAAAAATAATAATGTATGTATATTATAATTATCTTTTTTTACGAACATTCTTCGAGAACAAACTACACATTATACGTTATTATTAGTTTTATTTATTTACTATGCAGACAGGTTTGGCGTTAAATTACATCAGATTACAAAAAAAAGTATATGTATATTAGAAAAATCTTCTGTCAAACATACATTTTATAAAATAGACCTGATTATTTCTTGTAGGAAATTTAGCGAAAATGGAAGAGAAAATTTTTTATTGACAACAGAATTAACATAATTTCAATTTAAAATTATTCGTAAAAAACTATACTTCTATTCACTAACAGTTTGTTAGTAGAGCTTTGATATTGATATACTCACTCCATCATAACTATTTATATTTAAAATTATTTGTCACTAGGAACCAGAAATAAAATTTAAAATTTCAGACTAGAAGAAAATAAAGTAAGTAGTTTGAAGCTAATTTTATACTAATGAGACAGGTTTGCCAAGAAATGACAAATCATGTATTTAATTACAGAATACATTTTCCCTTGGTTTAACAAAAAAAAGGCACAAACAGCTTTATTATTTAAAATTTGGAATTTAAAAAAACAATTAAACTATCTACTGATATCGTTATCAATCTGAAACAGTCACTTCTTTTTGTTACTGCGATCAATTAGAGAGTATGGGCAAGCTCTGCTAATATAGTTAAGTGTTAAAGTCGGCAAATTTTGTGACGCAAGGGTACAATTTCGAAACTAATAGCGCTCGACACTAGCACGGTTGGTTGCTCATAATGAAAGGGTTCACAAAAGAAACAGAAAATAAGGAAAAAGTTAGATTGAAAAAGATAATCAACACAAGACAAAACTCAATTCCATACTATTTTCAACAAGGCACATTCGCCAGAATCTTAACTATAAACTCGGCATTTTTTACTTATCTTCTGCATTAAAACAGAATCGTCTTAATCACGGACAATAGCTAAGAAAACCTGATGGAAAAAGTATCAAGTCTTACACGTTAGCACATCTAGCAGATGAACATCTCGAAAGGTCGGTCAAATATGTTGAATAACTATAAAATTCTCGACAAATTTTATTTTATGTAATGATCTTACAAGTTAAATTACGGTTATAAAAGAGAAGAATAAAGCTATATAGTTAACTACTACGAACAAAGCAACGTAAAATCTGTTTAATTTTATTTAAGAGAAAATGTTTGAAAAAAAAAAGATAACTGAACAAGAGGAGAATTTATAAATATGCTAAAAGATAAAAGTAACTGACGAAACCTTTGAACTATTGCAGATCTACTTATGCTAATAGGAAAGTGCATGTAAATCAATGCAATATACTATAAATCTTTCTAATATAAATTTAAATACATTTATTTGGCTATTGGAAAATTGCAAATTATCATAAGGATATTTTCATAAACACAGCCTAAGTTTATTTTAATTGAAATAAAAGATGCTAGACTCTGTCAAATATCGATAACTGGATTCGATGATCATTGTCATCATAAAATAATTATTCGTTTAGACAAGAGTCGGTGTCTTGCTATGTTGAGACGTACTTCAGTACATACTGAAAGTAAATGTTCATATTTGCTAACCTTGTGAATTTGTAATATTAGTTTAAAAGTCGTGATGAAGAGGATACATTACAAGCTTGACGAAGGTACTAAGTAATAATGTTGGAAGTGTAGGGGCCGACAAATAGGTGAGGTTATCGCCGTCCCTCTGCGTGTTTTTACTTCTTTTTCTGTCTTTCACGCGTATTTTATTTTAAACTGGGCCATTTGAGCGTGTCGATCAGTTAACTCTGCTGTTATATGAAAACTAAGTCGATTCTCTAAAATGCTAGCATCTCATTTGTATCTCAGGTTGACAACTACAAAATAGATACAAAATAGATACGCCCTCCCTTTCACGCTAATAAATTACATTTATTCCAATAAATTAATATAAACACCCGATAAAAACATAGAACTGTGGTCATATCCATTCGATATTAGAGTAATCGATATTAAACAACCCCTCGCTTTTACCCTAATAAATTACATTCATTTCTCTGGCACTGAGAGTTTTTTCTTTCAAACTAAAAAATCAGGGATAGGGCCAATTTGAAAATATTTTTAATTCATAATTTAAATTGAATGATATCAACCATAACAAGATGGCAATATTAAGCCAAGATTTGACGAAAGACCTTCGTTAAATGTTATACTTTTCATTAATTCAAAAAGAAAATTATTGAATATATAAAATTTTTATATTGAATATATAAAAATTTCAACTTTCATAGGAGCCACTCTTAACTCAAGGCGTTTGTCCAAAAACTGTATATAATAATGTTTTATTTAATAATAAATTTGAATAGCATTACACATTATTTACATATTTTTGTGTAACGTATTCTGAGATATGGAAAATTGGAAAGGGTTTTCATCCATTTTCTATTTTCTACGATACGTTTTGACCGTGAGGGCGTGTGAGACAATCGTCCCGAACGTTCTTGGTGCCCCATTTTTGGCTCGGCTCCCTCTGACGTAAATGCTAGGAAAACTGAGGAGAAATGTTGTTTCTGTTTGGCCTTTGCCAAACCGTCCGCGGATGAACGTTTCGCTGGCCTAAACATGAAATCGTTCCTTTCAAACAGTCGATTATAAATAGTCCGGCAATGGAGTGGTTTTTCCTCACCTCCAAACCGTAAAACAAATTTAAACCGTTTTAAAACAAAGCTCATTTCAACAAAATCCACATCGTTAGCACGTCAGGAACGAAAAACTTAATATGGCATAAATTATTCCAGAAGAAGGTTTCAAAGGAAATTTGAACGCGATCACAAGGCCATTTAAAAGCCAGACATGAAAAAATAGTTTTGAGTTGATATTTTTTTTAATAGCGGGTCGTTAAGGTTTATTTGAGGCACAAAGGATTTTGAAGGCCGATAATGCAATAAGGCAAAGAAGAGTACTCAGCTTACAGAAGGGGTCCCCCTTGCCTTGACCCCCCTTCGCCTAAGAAAGGAGGTCCGTCACGTAGCCCTCCATCGGATTAAATATTTATTTCTCATAGTTTACAAACAGACAATTCTTTCTACAAGATGTAAACATATAACATTTTATTTCTTCACGCATAAAATGTATACACCTTAACCAAGTCATTATACCCACATACTCATCCAGATGTTGCGAGTTTGAGTCCCGACACTAATTTTTCATCTCATCCCTTTTTACTTCATTTTGGTATATCTAGTTTTGTCGTGTTCCCGCTTTTGGAAATTGGTAAGGGTACAGTCTGAAATAGTTCCATTTGCCACAATAATAATGTTTATACATACAGTGCAATGGAGGTTTTGAATTAAAGAGTTTAAAGATTAAAGCACCAAAAATAAGGTGCGAAGTGGTGAGCCTGTAGTTTGATTGTTTCCGATCGTTCTGGTCTGCCTCGTCTCACTGTTTTTGATCTGTCAGATACGTTTCGGTATTTCATCTTCAGTGACGGGTTTGCATACACACACATACCGACCAATGGAAATGGCGAAATGCCAAACGCATCTAACTGACCAACAAGCGAGAATAGTTGGACCAGAAAGATCGGAGATAAGGAAGCTACTGTTTGCATTGTTCCATTCACTTCAAACAAACTTTGCTCTACATTAACACCACCCGTACTTTTCAACAAAATCTCTACTTTTTAAAGATTTCAAGAGCAGTAAAGTGAGAGGTGTTAAACCTGGAGTTTGTCCACTTCTAGTTCTGTCCTGTGCCTTTTTTTAAGATTGGCAATGGTATGTCGGCGTCTTTGGTGCGTTGTACAACAAGTCTAACTTTGTTAACAAGATAACAGCAATCAATAAAAACAAACAAATAATTTATTTCGTTTATTGATGATGATGATCGATACTAAGAAGTGGGAGGTTTTGTTCCCCAAGCACTGCAGTATTATGGCTTATTGTACCTTCCTAGTTCCATAGTCAATGCCATAGATTCGATCCTTCTCCTAAGAAATACCAGGTCATTGAATGTCGTTACCGCAATTCCATTCCCTTGGTTTTCTTTATAACCCAGGATATGTCTCCATTTAGCAGTTGCTTCGCATTCGAAGATGATATGGGTAGATGTTTCTTCCTCCTCAATGCATAATCTAAAGATGACACAAATATGCCCAAGTGTATATGATTCCTCAGATGTCAGTGACCGATTAATAGTTCTATCACTTCTCTGTATTTAGAGTGCCAGTCTTGGTGAGGATTGTTTTTTCTCTGACGCCCTTAGAGTTTATCCACTTCTCCTTTTATTTTTTTGGATCCATTCTGTGATATTTTTATTTCAAGAATAGGTTCAGGACCTCCTTTGGCCAGTGTGTTTGCCCTCCCGTCATCCAAAATTCCTTTGTGTCCTGGTACCGAAGATATCA